TTTCTTTCTTTCTTTCTTTCTTTCTTTCTTTCTTTCTTTCTTTCTTTTTTCTTTGAGAGAGAATGAGTGAGAGAGAGCATGAGCATGTAGGTGTGAGCAGGGGAGGGGCAGAGGGAGAGGCAGAGAGAATCTCCACGCTGGGTGTGGAGCCCAGGGCTCAATCCCACAACCGTGAGATCATGACCTGAGCCGAAATCAAGAGCCGGACACTTAACCGACGGAGCCACCCAGGCACCCCTGGGCCTCAGTTTCTTAACGCAAAACACGGGAGTTATGAGGAACACCCACCTCACAGAGTTGCTGAAGCACGACACGATTCAATAATTGTACGGTTCTTGGATCAATGCTGGGCACAAAGTAAGCACTAATACCGTTTGCCATTATTATCATTAAGAACCTGCTGTGTGCCAGATACTGTGAGATAGCAGGAGTACACAAATGACAGGCACTGACCACCTAGTACAGCAGGCAGACGAGTAAGCCAGCAATGGAGGGTGAGTAATGGAAAAACTATGAGCATACAGAGGAGAGAGCAGCTACCCAGCCTGGACCGTAGGCAGAGTAGAGGAGGCCCCTCCGAGGTGGTGAGCCAACACTGCAACAATGTGCAGGAGGAGGTGGGTGCGAAGGCCTGGGAGTGTGAGACAGCCTTTGCCAGCCTGGAATGGGGTCGGCTGCGTGCAGGGGCCCTGGCTGTGGGGACCGTGCAGACAGGTGCATTACAAAGGGCCCTGACTGTGGAGAGAGCACCTCCAAGGAGCCTGGACTGCCTCCATCGTAGTGGGCAAGCCCCTGGAGGTTTGAAACACGAGAATGAATTGCATTCTGGACAGAACACACTAGGGGACCGTGGCATGCGGCCTGGAACAGAGACTGGAGGCCAAACCAGGGCTATGCAGCCTCCCAACCAGCAGCCTGGCGCACAGTGGGACACACAGTCTTACCTGGGTCCCTGGGCCTGGTAGGACAACTGCCCACAGCACCTCTCCAGCCCTAACTTCCGGGAAAGGCCAGATTACAGACCTGTAACCAGATATGCCCTACAGATTTAGCCTCACTCCCTCCTGCTACAGTGCCTGCCTGTGGGCTCCAATTCTGGCTCCTTGCGCTTGTCTTCCTTCTCACCCTGGCAACAGGCTCACTCTTGCCAAAGCCTTAGCCCCAACCTCAGCTCACCCTGACCCAAGCAAGCCCATCCCTTCTCCCCTCTGTCTCCCCACCCCTAGCCTCATAGGACTCCCAGTTGCTGGGCTGGGACTTGCCCTTTCTCATTTTCCCATCGATGACTCACGCATCAGGCAGGGGTGAGGCCGGGGCTGCCGGGGCAGGGGGAGAGAAAGCAGCAGCCCCTCCCTGGCCTCACGGCATCCTCAGGCCCAACCGAGCAGTTTTTCCATCTCAAACATGTCTGCCGGCACTGTCGGGGCCTGTTTGTGCCCCCAAAGAGGCCTTGACCCTACTCTGTGGTCCAGCCGAGCATTCCTAGGGTGAGGGCCTATGATCCATTTTTAGAATCTAGAGTTGCCAGAGCAGTGAAAACACCCCTGAAGTCACAAAGCAGGGTGTCTCCCTCCCCAGCAGGAAGACAAAGACTCCCCGAAGGTCACGTATCTTTAAAAACAACAAAAACAAAAACATAAATTCAGGGTGTAAGGTTCCAATCCCTGTGCTGTGACTTCTTGGAGCCTTCCGGAAGCCATGGGACTCTCTTACAAGTGGTAGGAAGTGATCTTCCCCATCGCAACAACCCCCACCTCTATTAATGTATACTGAGGGCCTACTACATTCTAGGGTCTGTGCTAGGGGTTCTAACTGGAGCACACCCATCAGAGGGGCCAGGGCTCTCCCAGCACGGGGAGAAACTGAAGCTGGGTTTGGGCAGGAACGAAAGCACAAGTGGAACCAACAGGGCTCTGTTCCAGAAAGGCAGGGAGTGTCAGAAACCAGAGCCTGCTTCTTCCTCTGCTCCGTGTGCCCCCTGCCCCTGGACACCCCATGCTGGCTGTGCCCCCACTGGCCTTTGCAGCCAGGCTCTCAGAATGATCTGGCAAACACCAGTGAGGCTAACACAGTGCTGGGCAGAGAAGGCAGAGCCCACCATTCCCCGGGATGCTCACACCAGCTCTACAGGCACCAGTTGGCATTTTATCTCTCTACCAGACTCAGGGCTTCTCGGGGCAGGGTCAGATTGTGTTCCCCATCTCTGCATCACCAGTGCCAAGCACAGCGCTGGCAGCGAAGAGGCATCTAGGAGTACGTATTTGCCTGCATCCACTCCCACCTGCTCCCACTCTCCCACTTCTGAGGGTCTGGATACCTCTTTTCTTTCTTTATGCCTGAATCCCCACCATCAGCAGCCTTTCAGTTCGATTTGAAGAGCAAGGATTCTATTTTAGAGGCCGTCTTATAGAACAGAGATGCTAACCCTTTCCCATTCACATGGCTCCAACAAAGAAGGGGTGGAGACCCCATCATCTTCTCGCCAAACCGCCCCCCCCACCCGGCCACCCAAGTGCGGCCATCCTCACCATCTTTCTCCCCAAGCCCATGACAGACGTCACCAATTGACCACAGCATGCAAGGGGAGCCCAGGTCTTGCTCAGCACATACCAGGGGTGGCGTGGAAGATGATGCTTGTTTGCGATGCTGGGACTAAGCTATCCATGAAACAGGGATACAGCCTAATGAGGTAATAAATGAGATATTTGTCAAAACTCTCTTGTAATTTGTAAGTTCTTTGTCACTTGTGAGATGCGGTGCTCGTAGCAGATGAACAAGGCACTCCCGAGGACTCTAAGGTACTGGGACATAGGATGGGGAGGTCTTGGCTGGACAGTAGGAGAAATCTGACGGGGAACAAAACAGGTCAGAAGCACAAAGAGGTTATTAAAGAGACTTCAAATTGTTGAAGGGGGCCACACAGCCCCCTCGTTCCTTCTGGAGACTCTGAAGTAGGCCGCTGCTTTGCCACAGGGAAGGCCAGACGTGGTGGGCAACGGAGGAAAGGAGGGCAGAGTAAACTGCTGACCACAACATGGAAAGATCTCGAGGGTTACCCGATGAGTTTCTGTGTAGCTCAGGCAGCTATTTCTCTGGACTTCAGCTTTTCCTGTGCTGTAATCATTCCTTTTAAACCATCCAGCAAGGAATACTTACTGCATAAATGTATGAAGCCTGAGTATATAAATGACAGGGAGACCAACTCTGCTCAGAAAGCTGAGCCACCTCCCAGGATGGCAGGGGCGGCATGGCCTTCTGGAAAAGCAGCTACATAGACTGAGTTGGCCGGTAGAACATCCCTCAGTCCAGGCCTTACGGTCCCTCCTTCCTAGGACCGCTGAGGTCGTGCCTCCTAGGGCTGCAGTGTCTCTCCCCACCCAGGCCGGAGATCTCAGAACGGGTTATGGAGTGGAGAAGCGGGGGTAGGAGAGGGATGCTCCAAGCACTGGGTCTTTGTGGGCAAAGAACTCCATTCAGCAAACAGTGTGGTCACTGCCCTTTGCGGGGACTCTTCATTTTGGGATAGGCATGAAATGGTAATGGCCAAACCCCCACCCCACCCCCACCACCTCCAGGCCTAGCACCACAGTGGGGGGGGAAGATGGGCAAGAGGTGGGGAGCGAAGTGTGCAAAGAGAAGGCCTGGATGGGTGGGGGTCCCAGAAGGACCTAAGCAGCAGGAGACCCTCAAGTGTGGGCCTCAGGGCCCATCAGCTCCCCCCACCAAGGTGAGTCCAGAAGTGATGCCAGGCTGGTTCCTCCCCGGGGTACCAGCCTGGCCTCCTGAGTCCTGAGGCACTGGCTTGGCACCCCATGGGGAAATGTCCTCCTCGCGGCATGGCACAAGCTGGGGACTAACGACAGTCTGCAACCAGATGACGGGGCCGCCGAGGGGAGGGTGCTTGGATGCCAGCTCTCCATCACCATCTGTACGTCAGGCTGTGGCTGCAAAGCCCTGAGCTGGGAATGTCCGGAGACTCTGAGAGTGTCCAGGGGCTGAATCTTCATCCTCAGCCCCACATGGCCTTCTGCCCTCCTCCCCGGGCCCCATCCATTCCTTCAGCTCCAGCGTCTCCTCCACGTGACCATGGCTTCCGCCTCGACACAGTCACGCTCCCATGAGCCAAAAGGGGCAGGAGAGCTGGCAAGAAAGAGCAGCAGTTAGGGCAGGGGCAGACACTGAGATAAGTATCCACAATGAGCTGCTTTCCATCAGAGCTTTCCGACCTTCTCCACATCAGGAGAAAGGTAGAAAATAGGATTTGTACAACACACTGTGATCAGGGGAGGAAACTGCTTCCTCCGAGTCCCCCTGAGGCCTGAGGGATCAATATGGACCAGTTCTCAGTACAGCAGGTCTCCCTCCCTCTCGGCTAATCCTCAACAGGAGGGTCAACAGTCAACAGGAGGGTCAAAGGGGTATATGACACTGGGTGGGGCTCCAGGCTCACCGGGACTCTCCTTGGCAAGGTGGAGAACTGCGGGGCAGGAGGGTGAGATGGTATGAGAGGAGATATAGGTTTCCACCGGAGAAATGAAAACCTGAGTGGTATAATTCCATTCTCGGCCCTACTCGTGGTTCCCACGGGGAGGGAGTGGCATCTGGGTAAGAGGGCACAGGGCTGGGAGCCAGGGCTTCTAGGTTCTATTCCTGGTCCCTCCCCTGGGCCTTCCTGACCACAAACCCGCCCCTCATCCCCTGCCCTACTGCTCAAGGAGGATTAAGACATCACAAATAACAAATCATGACCCCATCCTGCACCCCTCCACCCACCCTGCCCCAATGCCCCACCCCCTTCTCCAGCTTCTCCTCTTCTGGCCCAGCTGGGCATTGGCTGGCACTCAGAGGCAGGCGGACAGGCCCATTCCCCCTTGGTATCGGTGGCCTGGCCTCTGGCCTGGCCTGCCCACCCTCCAACACCTCTGGTCTGCCAGCAGCTCAGCCCTAGGACCCGATATCCACTGTCAAGAATGGGTAGTGGAGCCCTGGCCCAGCCTAGTCAAACCCTCCCCCTAAGGGCCCACCTTGGGAGCTGGGTTCTGTTCCCAATGACTCTGCTAACTGAAGGAGACTGTCTTTCTGCTGGGAAGCCTTAAGGGAATGCGCAGGCCAGCCTCCCTCCACCAGAGCCAGGGCAGAACCAACCTGTAGGGAGGCCCATCCCACCATCTTCCTCTCTGTCACCTGGGGCACATACGACCCTCCTGCCTGGGGCCCCAGGGGAAAGTCCAGCTCTTGGCCTCCTTTGCTCAGACTCCTAAGCTCCTACTCCCTGGCGGCCCTAGGGTCGTTCAGCTTTGACGTGGAATGCTGGTAGGAGTCCCCCATTTTCACCATAAGGGAAAGAGAAGGAGAGAAAGGAGGGTTCAGTCTCCAGGGGCCTACCTGATTTGACCTCCGTACACCACGTGGTGGGGAGGGTGCGGAGCATGAAGGTAAGATGGCAAGTTGTGCGGTTTAGGACACGAGGGTCCCGGCCCCGAGGCTCTGCCTGGCCCGCACAGTCTGGATTGCCTGCTGGTTCTTGAACTTGACCAGGCCCAGGGTGATCTGGGCGTTCCAGCCAGGATCCTCGAGGGGGCAGCGGAAGTCGATCTCGCCGCCTCCCTCGGTCACCAGCGTGAAATAGATGTGGCGCCCGGTGCTCTCCACGCATTCCACGGCCTTGATGCGGGCGAAGCTGAGCTCCTTGGGCCGGCCGCCGGTGCCCTTGGCCTCGAAGAGCTGCAGCCCGCGCTCGGTGAGCACACAGCGCTTCCGCTTCCACAGCTGCAGCAGCCCGCCGCTGCGCTTCTCCAGCACGCCCTCCTTGAGCACAGTCGCCGCCGCCGTCATGGGCGCCCAGACGTCCCGGGAAAACTGCAGGCTGCGGTGGGCGCTGCGCCCTCCCCGCTCGGCAGCGCCGGATTCTGGCGCCCGGGGCCGGCTGGCCGCGCGCCCTGCCACCTGCTCCCCCGGCCGTCCGGTGCGCCCGCCG